ATTTGTCTGTGGCTGAGATGTACAACGTTTTATGCTATTGAAAGACAGCGTCTTTGTACTGTGAATTAATAACTTTGAATGCAGATTAAAGACGAGTGTGAGCTTGGTTTTAGCTACTGAACACTTAAAACTGTAAGTGGAGTCATGAAAGTGACGTCATCATAGTGACCTCTTTTATACGGACACCTCTCTAATACGGACACTTCGCTCTGTCCCTTCGGTGTCCGTATTAGAGAGGTTCGACTGTAATTGGAATTTTAGGGGTTTGGCTTATTGCCTAGAGTTTGACAATATTTTTGCCCGCAGTTGTCGAGAGCCAAGGAAAATGTCACACAAAACTCCGTGATTGGCATGAGATAAATAAGGTTAACATTGAATGACGTATAATTTCATTGCATATTTTCGGAAAGGAGATGATTTCTTAAAATCATATTGAGCAAAACGACCTCTTAAGTAAGTTGCATTCTTTCACGTTCGAACCATAAAAGGGGCAGTGTTTAACATCTTCACGTGCAAACTGCGTGCGTGACAGTTATTTTTAAAAACCTCGGGTTAATTAGATTAAGTCGTATTCTCTCATTTTCTCACACACGAACCACAAAAGCGAAAAATTCCAAAGCTTTCACGTGCAAACTGCGCGACAATACAACTCACAGTAAGGGCCTCATCTCTGCCGAGGTGACTGTGATCCCGATATTAAATGAAACGGACAGCCCGGAGCCGCCATTTTCGTAAAGAGATTTCAAGCAATACGCATGAGCAGTGTGTTACCCGCTGTCCTGTTTCTCGCTTGGTTTTATTCGCCGGACTGCCCGAAAAGCACCTGGGATCCCAGCATCACAATACTGGGATCCCAGCTAACCGGGCTGGCTCGGTTGTCATATAATTGCAAAGCTGATTTTTGTTGCGTTTAACTATGGTGCCGAGATCTTTGTAAAGCGGGCCAGTCCGGCTCATGTAATCGGGCCCTTAGTTCTATAGCCAGATCTTACGCCCTCTGCCTTGACCTTACCGATTTTTCAAAGCTCCCCGAACACACGCAAAATTTTAGCTCCCCCCGCTTCGTCGTCAATATCTTTATCGACCCCAAATATACGCTCCCACAGCGTCTTGTTTTCTCACAAAACACCTTTTCTTGGTCTTTTTTGTCTAAAAAGAAAAGAAGAAATTTTAAATTTTTGACCAAAACTATGGACTAACCCCTTTGAAAAAAAGTAATTTTTGCGACTTTCTTAAGTCGATGTTTTTATACGGTCTAGAAAGGCTAGGTTTTTTTCTATTTTTCCATAAACGAAAAGAAGAAGAAACCCTAAATTTTTTTTACCAAAACCATGGACTAAGCCCCCTTATACTACTACATGAGAAATTTCTGCAATCTGATTGGCTTAAAGCAGTGGTATTTCAGCTTAATTTGAAATACCTACATGTGAAAATTACAAACCTTTTGCGGTTAGTAGTATAAACAAATAATAGCATGATTTGTACGTGATATTTGGCCTAAATACCACTCGTGATATTTCAAAATTGTCTCAAATTTCACTCGCTTAACGGCTCGTGAAATTACGTATAACAGTCACTCGTGGTATTTATGCCAAATATCACTACAAATCATGCTATTACCTATACTAATTTGGAAAAATGATAATTTTGTGATCTTTCTATTTTTGGCCAAAAGCTTGACTAACCCCTTTTCGATAAATGTAATTTTTTGAATTTTAGCAAGGGTTTTATTTCATTAATTTGGTGCTAATTCTTAAAGTTCTTTGTTGTTTGTGTGAAAAATGGGTTTGAGTCAAGTTTTCTGAAGTTGTATACGTAGATTAGAAAACATGCCCCTCTAGGACAAGAAAATCTTTTTCTTTACAAGATTACAGAGTCATGAAAATGGATTTTTCGAAAAGGGCTAGCCCGTGGTTTTAGTTAAAAAATTATTTTCTTATTGCTTGATTTTGTGAAAGATGGGCCTAGAAATCATGTTTGGTGTGGTGCGGTACAAAACCTTAGAGGTTCAGGTGTGTTAACTGAATTCTCTGATCCCAGAAAATACTGATATTACAGACGCATTATCCGTCTGGACGGATAGTGCGTCCTTGGTACAAAAACGGCCGATGTTCAAGTAACCTAAGAAAAAGGAAACAAAATTGGTTTGAATTACCCGCCGTTTTTAAAAGTCCTGGGTTAGAAAACGTGAGAGTTTGTATAAATATTCGGATCCAATCACCTTTTTTCTACTTCAAAAACTCATTTATGTTCAGTAGCCATATTGTTAAATCGACTTCTCGGATTTAATCACGTGTAGTAAGAACCTTTATACCCGATAAAACTCTGCAAACGTAAAAGTCAGGGTTGGCTTTGAATTCAGGCTCATTGGAAATACAGATTAGGATAAACATGTGATGTAAAGAATACTAATCATGAAATTTTATATTGAAGGTCTTTCTATTTTGCAAACAAAAGAAAGGTTAAACTTTGACCGCTAACCGGTCAGAACTTATTCTAAAACAAACTACGAAACTACTAACCAAAAAAGCATTAAACTGTCGTCCATGTTACCATCTCTAGAAGGAATATGCGAAATGGGTCACCACCAACAAAATTTAACTCTTACCAGTTCCTTAAAAATGATCAATGTCCATTATGTCGCGTTGCTGTTAGATTTGGCGGCACTTTACTCGAGCAATTTTTCCTCTTGTGCGGCAGGTTAACTGTGAATTTTCTTTCACTTGGATAGCCGTATTGCGAAGGCAAGTTGACGCTAAAACTGTTTACTTCTGATCAGTTGCCTAGACCTAGTGCATTTGCATAAATATTTCTGCCAACACTTGATATTTTTGCTCCTTTTGTTTAACTTTTTTCAATCAACACGTTAAAAAAGAAAAAGAAAATGCGTTTTTTCGCAATCCTTTTACGATTAAATACTCCGGGGACATTTTATGTAGCCTGCCAAGCATGGGTTTTTAAGGGAACTCGCTAATTGAAGCTGCTGTTCAAATAAAGCATTCTTGCATAGCACGTGATTTATCACTAGACCATACTGCACTTTGCGGGGAGGGGGATGTGGGGGGGGAACAAGGTGCATTATGCACTAGAGACTGCACGTCTGCCGGCACATCCCCCAAAAGAAGTAGCTTGCAAGGTAGGCGTCAAAAGGGGAGGAGAAAGAAGAGGAAAGGGAGAGGAAATTGGGGAAAGAAGTAAAGAGAAGAGCTTTTTTCCTCGTCTTTCCTCTTTTCTGTGAATGCCCCGCAGGCTAGGGTACCAAAGAATGTGTTGGGGGGTTGAGTTAGCTGAATAAAAATTTGAAGGAAAAGTTCCCTACGTGCGAGTTTTACTTTTAGAGATGGTTAATCTTCTTTTGGAATGCGCTCTAAAGCAGCGGCACAGCTGCACAACAAAAGCGCCCTGGGGGCGAGGTTGCCGCACAACCACAACAGTCCGGTTATCTTAACGATAATGAAGCAGTTGTTAGAAAACTTATTCATTCATTCATTCATGTCTTTCAGTCAAAACTTTATTTTACTTCGGATTGCAGAGTAGCATATAGTGCTATTATCTCCGAATTACATAATTATATAAGAACCTACAAAAAAACTATAATCACATACACATGATACACTCCGCTCTTGAATGTAAGCTTTAAGGTAAGCCCGGGGTAAGGCGAGGCCATTCCATGTAAACATTTGTACAATGTCACCATCATGGTTTGCACCCGACCTGCCTCCAGGATTGTCATATTACGTTTGGTAATTAGATCCTCTTAACTGCCGGATGAATCGTTTAAAACTACTTTAAGTATCTGTTTATTTAACTGCTCTATTATAGTTTGACCATAATGCATGACGGGAAGATGGTAATATCCTCCTTTGACCATGTCCGTAATTGGCGTCTCATGCTATTTATAAGGTTGAATAAAACGGCAACAAACGTAGAAAATGGCTGTAGTGAGCGTACTACAGTGCCTGATCCAGACCCTGAGATAAGGAGGGGGTGGGGGCAGTCATCCAGACCATTAGATAAGTGGGGGACCCGGTCTCCAAAAAATTTTTTTTCGGCCCTTAGCTAAGGCCTCAGTTTGGTCTAAAAATGGTCCGCTACTGTACTAACGTGACGCTTAATACGAACATGCTCTATGTTGGTATTTTATTCGGTCTTAATACGTTAGTACACTTAGGTACGGCCATGTTCCATGTATGTTGGTATTTTATTCAGTCTTAGTACTTTAGTGCGCTTATTAAAGCCATCGTTTATGTATGCTGGTATATAATTTGGACTTAGTACGGCCATGATCTATGTTCTGGTATTTTATTCCGCCATCTAGTCACGTTAGTACGGTCAGTACGGCCGTGTTCTACGTTTTTTTTTACTGACTCTACTGGTTTTAGTACGTTAGTAGCCTTTGTAATGTTCCATTTTCATCGGCACGCATGCATGGCTTTTTTCGGCTCTAAAAAAGGCCCTCTTCTTGCTTACTGGGATAGTAAGTAAAGACATCAGAATCCAGTATACACAAAATAAACTAACAAAGAACTCGCTAAATTCCAAGTCCGCTTGTCAGGCGTACTAAGCAAAAAAAAAAAATTAGAAAGAGGTGCCCAGGGAGAACGCGCAGCATATGAGCTTTAAAATGCTCTTTAACGACGCGCAGAAGCAGACTCGTACCTAGTCGCTTCTCTGTATGCGCTGTGATTAATAGAAAGAATTTAATGAGTTCGCGGTGCATCAAGGGAAGGAAGGAAGAAAAACGCAAAGCTTTTCCTCCCTCCTCCTCAAGCGCCTTTGTGCGCGTGAAATTGCCTTTCATATTCCTTTGCGAGAATAAATAGAAGTGGCGACTGGGTACGAGTCTGGCGCAGAAGAGAATTTTGAAATTTTGTAGAACTTGGCGACGTTGATACTTACCGGTAACTATGATGCAAAGATGAGGATTTTTTTCTCTCCCTTTCTTGCTTCCCATTGCAAACAACGCCAACCTCGTCCCCAGGGTCTTCTCGCTTTCCAATATGGCGGCGGGCGGCGCCATATTGGAAAGCGACAAGACCCTGGGGACGAGGTTAAAAGTTTTTCAGAGGATGCGATCATTCTGGTCAGCACCAAGAATAACAAAGATGGCGGCCAGAGCATTGCACAGAGTATGTTGTTCGGCTGTTTATTGCCAAGTTTCAAGACACGTTTCATCATTGTTTCGGCTTCAGATGACAAATACATCAGTGAAGCATAACAAAGGATTTCAGTTATTTTATCGAGGGTTTTTTGTTTCCAAAGGTTCGTGACGTTCTTTCAGCGTTCTTTGCAAGGTTTAAAAAGCAGCGTGGATATAAGCTTATGTGACAACATCACGAATACAAGTTTAAAAAGATCAATACGCCTACGCTAAAGTTAGCATTATTACTAACCATGGAATACATATAAATCAATATATTAGAAATCCGGATTAGAAAACTCAAAAGGTTTCGAAACATTTCTACACCCTTAACTGTTGACTGACCTTACTCACTGTTTACAAACATTTCCTCCGCAGTTATATACCGGTATGATTTTCATATATTCATAACTTCATTTCTTTTGTTTACAGTCACATGTGTATTGAATGTAACAAAAGAATATTCTATTTCAAGAACCAATGCGCCTCTGCTTGGTAATTAATATCATGGGTGACATGCGCATTAGTAAGGCATAATACCTATGTCAATTCCTTCCCAACTGCTCCCTAGGGAATTTGTTGGATACTTGACGGGCTGTGAGTTCCCATATAAGCACTTATATAGAGAGATTTAGAATGACACATCAACAATTGGCAATGTGAAATAATTGTACCATGTGACCAAGTCTTCAGTTACTTGTCATGTGCTATTGATCATTTGTACACAGCAATAAGGTGTCTCTTGTTATGGTCATCTGTCAGATTTATTTTGGACAGTTTTTATCTGTTCACTTCCCAATTACTTGAGAAAGTCTCAACTTGCGTCTCACGTTTGCCATTTGCCGTAAACGTGACTCCAGATCTCTCTATTATTCAAAAGTGTATTTGTCCACATAAATATTTTGTTTTGTTTAGTTTCCTCAGCCGAGTACTCAGACACAGAATGGAAAACAAAACTTACTCCTGATCAATACTGGGTCTGCAGGCAAAAAGGAACTGAGCCGGTAAGACCAAGTAATAATAACTGATTGCAGGCTAAGGTCCAAAATTTCTTATTGTCAAAGAAACTTTGTCTTGTGGTTTCGATCACATCCCCAGGGTTTTTTCGTGAACATGACCTCAAAAATTAATGATCTCTTATGTGGGGATGTTGAAAATTACTTCCAGTGTTATTCATTGCATGTATTCATTCTAAGAATAGCTCTAAACAGGCCATGTACTAAACAACTTGTTAACCTTGTCCATTCGGTTATTACAGAGAAATCTCAGACCTTGGCCTTGATGTATTGTCAGAGCCATCGGTCTGAGATTTCCCTGTAATGACCTCACTCTTGGTTACTTAGTAGTACTTACGTTGTTATTGAACCTAGATTTATTTACCAGACATACTGATGTAGTAGCTGTACTTAGACTCTTCTCGTGCCGCTGTGTCTATCCCAGCTCCTCTCAGTGTTTACTATTGATATTATAATAAAATTCACCTATTTGCTTCTAGCCGTGGTCAGGTGAATATGTTGAATTTAAAGGCAAAGGAAAATACAAGTGTGTTTGCTGTGGAAGTGACCTGTTTAGGTAAGCAATCCTGGCAATATATTCTGTCTACTTAGCCCGTAGCCTCTTAAAAAAGATGATTTTGCACTAGCAAATCCTCTTAGTAGTTCTTCTGCCACAGCCCTTAAAAGACTTACAATATCTTTTTGCCACATGAAAGATCTCTTCTGTCCAAATTCTTGCTCCCAAATACAGTCAGGAGGATAATCAAGCAAACCTCATGAGGATAGGGAAAACTTATGATAGGATTTTTTGTCACAGTATTGTCCACCAGAGCTACTCTAAATAACTTCATACTACAGAAATCAGTTTATCCTGAGCTTCTTGTCTTGTTAATGCTCCTTTACCTGACAGTGTAAATCTTTTCTTTGGGTACAGTTCATCTGCGAAGTTTGAATCCGGAACAGGATGGCCATCATTTAATGCTGCAATAGAAACAATTAGCTCCAACGATGCAAGTTCTCTTCAACTGTCAGTTGCTGAAAAAACTGACTATAGTTACGGCATGGTCAGAACTGAAGTTCTTTGTCGGCAGGTAAAATCAAGATTTCTTTCCCTATGAGGTAGTTACCCCACACGCAAACGAGCTTGCTCGCTGGATATGGAGTGCCATTATTTACTCACATTAATACTTATAAAATTTTGGACTTGCCAATGTGCACTTTCTTGATGGTGCAACCTATTTAAAACTTGTTGTTTGCAAAGAGCAGCACAGTACTATGCAGTTTTCTTTTGTTTAAAACTGAGAATAAATCTGTCTTGAAATATGGGGTATACAGGTCTCCCTTTTTCTTTAAAGATAATCTGTCATGTAGATCTATATTAGAAGTTATGGTCATGTGACTTCATAATTTATTCTGGGTAGAATGTATTATTTTGTAGTCGAGCACTCAATTCATTTGATTGAAGAGCATGTACTCACTTAGATATTAAAAACTTTCAAACTATTTTCTTACTAATTATTTTTTTCATTTTACTTGACAGTGTGATTCTCATCTTGGTCATGTGTTCCCAGATGGCCCTGCGCCTACTGGTCTCAGATACTGCATTAACAGCATTTCACTCAAATTTGAACCAGAAAATAACAGTACAAGATCAGATACAACTTGACCTTCAATAGGTGAACAGGCAGCGTATGCACACGTAAGAATGGTGCAAATGGGATTTACACATCAAGAATTACCTTTAGTTAGTAACTAGTAATTAATTATTTATGAACTTCCCCTGTAAAAGTCAATCTGAATGGAAGTCAACTTATTCAAAGCAGATTTCCTTACCAGGTGTACATAGGTGTGAATAATGGAGGTGTTGGAGATGAGGCAAATAGAAGTCTGCTTGCATATTCCAATGTATATTTCAACATTTAATCAAATCTCACAGATTTCGGCTTTACAACTTGTTTTCAGATTGCATGATCTTCTCTCCTAAACTGACTACAATACACAAGAAACCTAACCTACATCATTATAAAGTGACTGCCATTTAGTATTATTCCCACAAAATAAATTAAGAAACCCAACATCTTATCAGTTATCATGGTTCACTTCGTGACTGTCCCTTGAACTTTCTGGAGATCGTGAACTAAATATTAAATTTTGGCAATCAACGTTGTCATCAACTTGAAATATAACAAAGTGAAAGGATAAAAACATACTACGAAATAATATGTAAACACACTATTGGCGCACAATTCCCGACAGAGAAGCTGGCTGTGGCCAAATTGTTTTTAACTGTAACTGGGATGACACTTTATAAGCATAAGGAAAATAGAGTTAAGGCATATCTTAGTTAACTTTCACCTGCGTTAAGATATAAAAGATATAGTGTATTTAACATAATAGAGTGATTTTAATTAACCCATGAACCAGGTTATTAGACTACCACGTACTATAATATACGCATGCACTAACTTCATTCTCGTCTCTTTTGTCTACTTGTAGCTATTTGGCATTAGTTCTTTATAGTATCTGTTTTACAGGTTAAGTAACATCACTCTACACTCATTGTCTTCATCACTATCATTATAATAGATGGACATCTAGGGGAAATGAGTTGACAATAGTGACCTTAAGATACACTGTTTTTCCCTCCGGGTACGGGTAGGCGACCATGTTGGCTAAGTAGTTAAAGATAAGGTGACCATTATTTCCCAGATGAGATGATCGCATTACCATTCTAGCTGGTAGCCTACCCATTTTTCCACGATAAGAGGCAATCTACCCATATTTACGGCTATGCACACTGGTAATTTACCTGTACTTGTACACTGAAACAGTGTATCTTAAGGTCTCTAATAACTGGAGAAAAAGTAACGTGTAAATAAAAATCACAATTTTTTCTCTTATTTTCCTTATGTGTAACTGATATTGACAAGAAATAACATGACAATGTATTTCATGACATCAGGTTGTAGCAAATTACATTAGTTTTGTACATTAGTTGCACATTTACTTTATTAATTAATAATTCTACCCTTTACCTTCTTTTATAACCTAGCTTCTACTTCAATGTATAAATTAATCAATTATGTACAAATTAAATTAATGTATCATTAATTTTGCAGTAGTGTAATATAATTACAGAATACATGCTTTATTAGTATAACACAATATTATGAAATAGAGTGATTGAATTTCAGAAATTTAAGCACACCAGCACAAAACAAACAAGCCATTTAAACTGAAAATTTGTACATTAATATAATAAGTGTTTGACTCTTGTAATATCTCATGAAAGTGAAAACTTGGAAGAACTGATAATTCTCTGGTTCAAGTTTTGATGTCATGTGAAAACTTGCGATTGGTTTAAAAATTATTTTCTTTTATTTCAAACATGCTATCATAACCCAAAACAAAAGAAGATAAAATTTACACCATGGAACCACAAATTCTCTAATATGATGTTTAGCTCATCATTAATTGGTTAAAATAAACAGTAAACTGACAAACAAAACTGAAACCATTTTTCACAGCTAAATTTAAATTAGTTAAGGGTTTTGAGCAATCAACTCAAGAAAGCAAAGAATTTGTTCAACATCACATTTATTTAGGAGATTTTAAAATTCTACATTAAATATATTGCAACATTCCACTAAAAGGTCATGAGTGTGTGAAGTTTGGTTGGCTACTAGGCTCAGGTCAGATTTCAAGATTTCAAGTAACCAGGTTTTGCAATCACTTGACAGGGAATTAAATATTTAGGAAATTCTTTTGGTTTAGTCTGTTTTCCTTTTGCTTCCTATGCAGGGGTGGATCTAGGGGGAGGTGGCAGGGGATGCACACCCTATGCGCCCCGAAATGACCTGCAGCTTTCTCATACCACTGGTATTCTGCCAAAAAAATGCTAGGTGGTTTACTGGTGTTGAAGTAAACATGAGATGAGGTTGAAGAATTTATGTTAAACGCCGTAAATTGGTAGTTTGGCAGAGAATCCTTTCTATTGGTCAGAGCAGACGTTCCGCGAGCATCATTGCCACATGTCCTATTCATGGGTATCCTGTGGATTTTGCTTCGCTTCTATGTGTACTGCCTTCTGTCTTGCTCGAAAGTTGTACACGCCACTTTGAATTACGTCACCAGTCAGTTATGCCATTCCTTAGTGGTGCACCCGGCCCCCTCCCAAGAAAAATCCTGGATCCACCCTTGTTATGACAGTAGCCGGGTGTTGCTGGGTGAAATCCCCAGGCCCCAGCCTTAAGTGATAGCTATGCTTGGGAAATAAATATAGTTTGAGAAAAATTCAGGGCTTCAAGAAATTGAGGTTCCACTGAAATATGAAAATAATATTTTAGCACTCTTAAAAACTCTGTACAAAAGTCCGATTTTACTTTGCCTGTTCAGAGACCCTCTTTTTTCTCTTCAAAGTCTGGGCACCAGAGATAACCTTGCACTTATAGTTTCTTCTGGCCTGGTGAAAATGGATTCTTCTCATTAAGGTGCATTGAGCTTAGAGTGTGATTAACAACTCTGTGGTGTGCTTCATCTGCTCGTATCGCCAGGATGGCATCCCGCATAACAGCTCCCTCCTGTAAGAAAATGATAAAGAAACTCAGAGCTACAGACTGAAAAATATTAGAAACCTTTATATTTTAAGACAAGTATGAATATAAGTACGAGAATTTCTAAATACTAAGTTGTGCTCGCATAAGCCAACATGATTTTTGTGCGAAAACGTGATACTAGTTGCCATTCTACTATGAGTTTTAGTGAGAATGTTGCAGTGGCGGAAACAAGTTATCAAAATAATGTTAGAAGTTTTATCATTTTGCGATCGGGAGAGGGCTTAATTTCCTCCAATAAAGGTAACAGTACTAACGTTTCTGGTAAAAAAAAAAAAGAAGAATGAAGCGTTCTGAGGTGTCTACTTCTTGAGAATATGCGAAAAAACTTTAAATCCAATTTCGTCCTCGTACTTGTCCTCGAATATTAAAATCTCTATTGTTGTGTAGTGAGGAGGGTGCGTGATTGAGTTTAATAAACTTTGAATTCTACTTAACTATCCCCGATAACTGCGATAACCTCCTTTCATTTAATTCTTCATTCACTCCACAGTTCTTATGTATAATTTTCATATTTTTATCCTTTTATGGGTTTATAATGAATCAACTCAATGAGCCACTCCCAGTTGGCTTCTTTGCTCAATAACTAGTTGAGCGCTGCACCAGTATTGCAGAGGTCAAGACAGTGTTCAAATCCCGTGCAAGCCTTACTTTTTCAGGCTCTCTTTCCACAACTGCAAAAGTTGTGTCAATAACTGCGATCTTCTTCATTTAATTCTTCTTGACCTGTTGCTTCCAGTAATGCTTCGGTTTTTTACCATTTCCCCTGAGCTACAATCTGTGTAAAATTCAGTTGTGCGGTAAACTATTTGTGCTGGAGAGATATTGTCAGTCAAAGGTTCAAGTTTTCTGTTACCTGGCCTTTCCTCTTCCTCTCTTGGCACATATTTTTCATAGTTTTTTCTTTCTTTTTTTATTGTGAGCCATTGATTTTCTTCGACACTCTTATAAAAATTATCCCCTCTTTGAAATTTAAATTTTAAGAAAAAATTTTCTTAAATACCTTTAACTTCCAGTAGTTAATAGCCAGAGGAGGTGCAGGCTTTGTTTTCCAAATCGGTAGAGTTCCATCATCAATACACTGTGAAAATTTTACACCCATGTTAACTGAATCAATAATTTTATCACATATTTCTGCCCTTGAATTGAAATTTTTTACATAAAAGAACCTGGTCAGAGACATCTTCAATTTCCTGTCCTCCAAAGTCACAGTGTCTTAAACTTATTAATAACAATCTTGTTAAAATATAGCTCAAAACTGAACTCAACAACCTCAACTAAACACTTTCGAACAGCTGCCTTTTATAGTCAAAAGTCCAATGTATTTACATGTAAGAGGTGGCTAGAATTTTATTTCTATTTTTCTCCCATCCATTTTATTCATTACAGAAACACTGAAAATTTTATTCAGTTTCACTTTGACAGGTGCCTGGATTGGAGCCTCATGGCAGAGGTATAATATTATTTCCAGCTGTTACTTCTCTCTTCTTTTATCTACGTACAAATTCTCTAGACTGATCTCCATACGTTTCTTTTAAGAATAGTTGAGAGAATTTGGCTTAGGATCAAAGCATTCTCCCTTTGGTAATCAATTTAGTAATTCTCATAACCTTTACTCTTGATGATCTGCTGATGTTGTTAGGAGAAAATTGCTGTTGGTCACTCTAAGTGGTACATTTGTATCACTGCATTTTTGGAATGTACTCTATCTTCAATCTTGGACAAAAAGTGCTTAGAATTTTGCAGTTTCTTACCCACAGATGCCTTTCCCACAGATCCGATACCCCTATGGCCTCTCCCCTTGCCACACCCTGGCCAATGTTGTTCAGTCAAGGACAGAAATGATCCAACCAGACTACAGCATATTTGTTTCGGGGAGGAATGGGGGAGTATTAACTTTGTCTGCAGTGCTTGAAGAGCTTCATCTTGAAACTAAACAAGGCAACATCATTTTTCTAAGTAACATTTTTGTCCAAGATTGTAGCATCTAGCCAGCTTGCTACAACAATGCAAGCCCATGGATTCACCAGGATGGCCCCACCTTCTCAAGTGAGGCAGCTGATGGTTAACTTAAAAAGGTTATTCACCTTTAAGCAGTAGGTGTAAGTCTTCACTGCTTCCTCCTCTAGGTATCCAACAAATCTGTGACAAAATCTGGGGCTTAACATGTATGCTATGAAGAAGCAGTTGACAAAAAGACCTGTTGAAATAGAAAAGGAAAAAGTTGTAGCTATACAATAAAGATTTTGCTTGCATCTTACGTTAACTACCGTGGGGCGTGGAGGTACTCCCTATAATGGCCCATACGGGGAGGCCCCGCCCAAAAGAGGTACCTTTTTCAGGCTTCAGGTACATATCAAAGGGTAGCAATTTCACAAGTTTAAGTATGAGAAACGGTAACTGTCATTTCTTTTAATGCAAGGCCCAAAGGGGCTGACAAATGCATTTTACCACTGTGAGAAAGTTGGGGAAATGTTCTGGTTTTGTGATTTATTCATATTTTAAATACAGTACCTTTACAGCAGTTAAAAGGGATGGAAAGTTCTAATTACACTGGGTGTATGAAAGGGATACCATTTGTCAATAGAAGGAATATAGAGGGGGTAACTTGTCAAAAATGGTAAATAAAAGGATAAAGGGGTTGGACATTTGGGCAGAGCTTCTCCGTGGATTAAACCAGAAAGGGATAACCTCATTTATCTCCTTTTCACTTTTCCATGGATTTGTGAATAAACAGTTATTATTATTATTATTATTACTATTATTATTATTATTATTATGTTGTAACCCGAGCCCCCAAACCCCAACCCCCCACCCCCTGGTTAAGTCTGAGTGGGCATTAGGCAAAATCTGCCTCATCCCCATGCAGTTACTCACAATCACGTTTGGGCAGATATTTGAGTTAATTACTAAGGAAATTAAAGTGCTCCTGGGACCTCTTGCTTGTCTCCACTTCTCAGGGTTGTCGCTGTGTTCCATGCTACTAAGCCTTAGAAAAGCTTGTGGAGGAGGAGGAGACAGAGGCAAAATGAAAAAGAACATAAGCATGGCACTAAAATTCGAGCTAAATAACAGGTTACACATTTCACCTGCATTAAAATGCCTTAAACGCAGTAAGTCTTGAAAATTAATGGAGAAATAATTTTTTTGTACAACTTACCCTGAGCGAGAAGTATAACTCCTCGGAAGAGAATTCCAGGTTCTTTTAGTTCCAAGGCTGTCATCAAATGCATCCGCTCATTTTCAGCTTCCTCTAAAAAAGTTTGATGAAAAGTTTTAAGTACCTAAAACTATAAAACTAAGTTTTTGAGTACATTTATCATAATGACAAGTTTCTGGGACACGGCATGAGTGCTCGAATATGACAGATGTACTAAAGTGTTATAAATACGTAGGCAGATTGATTATATTATTGTCAAAATACTAGCAAATTTTGAAAAGACTAGCTGCAATAGCCCATTATTAGTACTTACAGGGTTCTCAATAGAAGGCGGCACCCGGCGATTGATCGCCGCTTACTTTGGGATTTATAGCCGCTTACTTTGTGTTTAGGTCGCTTTTCTTTGCTTTGTTTTGACACCTCTGGCTTTGCTGAAGAGCCTCCTACTTTATCAGTGATCACCTCCTACTTAAAAATCTATTGAGAACCCTGTACTTAAAAACTTACCTTGGTTAAACCTATTAATTTAACACAGTTTGATTGGTGCTTGTTGGAGTAAATAAATATTTGAATTTTGCATGGCCCTTCAGTTCACTGGAAATATTACCTAGCAGTGTGTGAATCCACCCATGATCTCTTGTTAGTTTCCTGAGGGAGTGAAAGTGTCGAGCCATCGCCGCAATCATCCCTGGTACACCCGCCACTGTCTCCAACATAATAATGCGGCTGTTGATAATCAAAGGACACAAAAACATAGGTCAAATCAAGTGCCAGTATCAAAAAACTAATAATGTATGAGTCTGAATTAACACAAATTATAGCTGATTTATGGTCTTGAGATTCATCGAACAAAAATCTACCACTACTACTCATTTTTACGACTACTACTAAAGTAACTACTACTACTACTACTACTGCTGCTGCTGCTGCTACTACTACCACATAATAATAATAATTATAATAATAATAATAACAATAATAATAACCATCATCATCATCATCATCATCATCATCATAATCATATAATCATAATAATAATTAAACATTAAAGAGTGCTTTTTCTTAATGATCCAAAAGCGCTGTTTACTTTAGGTTTACTCATTGTACAACATTTCTGTGAATATAAATAAGACAAAGAATTAAGGGAAAATATTCACAGCTGATACAATTAAACAAATACAGTCGACTCTCTCTTAACGGACACCTCTATAAGTCGGACACAGAGTTGGTCCCTGCCTTTCTTTACTCCCTTTATTTGACTCTCTATAAGATGGACATCTCTCTTAGATGGACACTTAGTACCGGCCCTAAAGGTGTCCGACTTAGAGAGAGTTGACTGTAAATACTTAAGTAGTAAAATTGCTTTTGTGCAGAGAAAAATGAAGTTGCCTTAGAGGCTACACATTAAACATCTGAAATGACTGATTATGATTGACTGATTGACTTACTTTAGCCACTTATTCTCTGTCATCTTTCCCACTTTGTACAAGGAAATAATATCAAATGCTATCCTCAGAAATTGTACTGAACCATAGGCAAGCTTAAGTTATACAAGAAAACTATTATTAATAATATCTCATAGGCAATTTAAAACATTAACTGAAACATCTAAAAACTTTAATTGGTTATGACTGTTATCCATGCCAGGTGGCTGTTTTTACACTTAAGTGACAGATTATCTGACTCAGAAGTATAATTGATAATCTGGCTGTCTTTATGCGACCCAGCAAGGGCAATGAATAATCAGTATGATTACATCTGTCTGTTTATCCCTCTATTTCATAATTTGAGACAGATAATCTGTCTCTAGTGTGAACACAGACATTGTAGGGATGGAAGGACACACAAACCAAACCATTCACATCGGCATCCATGGCTTTTATCCCAGAACAGGGCAGTCACTACGTGCTTTAAAGGGCTGGGGACATGGGATTTCCCCTGGGAACTTGTAAAATTTAAGGGGTATAAAAAAATTTCTCTTCTTTTCTGTGTCTATAGAGAGCTTAGGATTCTGAAACAAGTAAGTCTACAACTATGAGATTTTCCCAATACTAAGTAACACTCAAGAGTGAACCAGCATCATTTTGGCAAGAAAAGGTGGTAGCCACCATCATCTCTATTATGAGTTTTAGTGCAAATGTTGTGGTGGTGAAAAACAAGATTCATATCAAATGTAAGAAGTTTTATCATTTTGTGATCGAAAGAGCACGTAACCACCTTCAAAGATAACAGTGCGAACCTTTCTAGTGGACAATGGTAAAATGAAGTTCTCCGGGAAGTCTACATTAATGAGAATACGCGAAAAAACTTAAAGTCAATTCTCGTACTCGCAGTCATCCTTGTCCTCGAATCTAAAGGTCTCTTATGTCTCCCAAATATTAACAGCCAGAAAAGCTTTTCAACCCTCCTATAGTATGCTACTGTGGGGTTAAAAGCATATTCTCTATGCAGGTAACCAGAGCAATTACAGTTTGGTTGCAATCGATTGGGAAATCCAGATTTACTTTTTGTAAAAAGAATTTCAGACTTTGCAATTGAACGCAAAATACGAAAATGGATTTCACTTTCGAGAAATCCGTCCTCAGGGTGGATTTCATTAACAAATCCAAATCCGGATTTCATGGATTTCCTTCTTTACTGTTCGATTGGGAAATCCGAAAGAGGATTTGCAAAACTATTCTTTTGGACAGTGGTCTTCTATTTGCTAATTATGCATGCAGGTGCAAAACTCCTGTTCCTAAGAACAGTTTTTCTTAATCCTTTCTTGGATATTCCAAAAAAAAACAACAGCAAAAAAAGGGAAAACTCAAGAACAGATATCTCTGCAGCATTAAAATATAAATACAGATTTCCCAATCATAGGCACCCTTTGTAACTCTAATGCATACAACAATAATAAATGCAAAATTTTCGTTGTACCTTGTCAACTTTAGTTACTGGGTCTTCATGGGTAATTTTTACACTGTGCAAATCATCTTCTGACCTGAAATATAACACATTATAATAGTTAAATGAAAATAAAAAAAATAACTAAAATTTAATTGCAACTGTAGGAAAAAAAAAACAGGAAACCTTCCTTGCAGTTAAATAAAATACATAAGTGGCTGAATAGGTTAAGCGCTGTGTTATATATACCCAATAAAGAAAAAACGAATCCCTAGTGATATGTGTTCCGCTGTCTCGAAAACACATATCACTAGCGATATGTGTTTTCCAAGTAGAGGAACACATATCAATAGAGATATGTGTTCCCCTACTGGGGAAACACATAACCCTAGTAATATGTGTTCTCCCAACTACGAACCACATATCCGTAGTGATATGTGTTCCCTCACCTGAAAAACTCATATCCCCAGTGATATGGGTTCCCCCACATGGGAAACACGAATCCTTAGTGATATGTGTTCAACCGGCAGGGAAAGACATATCCCAAGTATAACATATGTGTTATCCCACCTAAGAAACACGTATCCCTAGCGATATGTGTTGCCACACCTAGAAAACACTAATCCCTAGTGATATGTGTTCCCCCACCTTGGAAACAGATATCCCTAGTGATATGCGTTCCCCCACCAAGGAAAAACATATCCCTAGTGATATGTGTTCCCCCACGTGGGAAACACAAATCACAAGTGATATGTGTTCCCCCACTTGGGAAACACATAACCCTTGTGATACGTGTTCCCCCACCTGGGAAACACACATCCCTAGTGATATGTGTTCCCCCACCTGGGAAACACATATTCCTAGTGATATGTGTTCCCTCACCTGGGAAACACATATTCCTAGTGATATGTGTTCCCCCACCTGGGAAACACATATCCCTAGTGATATGTGTTCCCTCACATGGGAAACACATATCCCTAGTGGTATGTGTTCTCCCACCTGGAAAACACATATCCCTAGTGATATGTGTTCAGCCACCTGGGAAACACATATCCCTAGCGATATGTGTTCACCCACCTGGGAAATACATATCCCTAGTGATATGTGTTCCCCCACCTGGGAAACACATATCCCTAGTGATATGTGTTCCCCCACCTGGGAAACACATATCCCTAGTGATATGTGTTCCCACACCTAGGAAACACATATCCCTAGTGATATGTGTTCCCCCACCTGGGAAACACATACCCTTAGTGGTATGTGTTCCCCCACCTGGGAAACACATATCCCTAGTGATATGTGTTCCCTGACCTGGAAAACACATATGCCTAGTGGAATGTGTTCTCCCACCTGGAAAACACATATCCCTAGTGATATGTGTTCCCCCACCTGGGAAACACATATATTCCTAGTGATATGTGTTCCCCCACCTGGGAAACACATATCCCTAGAGATATGTGTTCCCCCATCTGGGAAACACATATCCCTAGTGGTATGTGTTCCCCACCTGGAAAGCACATATCCCTAGTCATAAGTGTTCCCCCACCTGGAAAACACATATCCTTAGTGGTATGTGTTGCCCTATCTGGTAAACACATATCCCTAGTGATATGTGTTCCCCCACCTGAGAAACACATATCCCTAGTGGTATGTGTTCCCCGACCTGGGATACACATATCCCTAGTGATATGTGTTCCCCCACATGGGAAACACATATCCCTAGTGATCTGTGTTCCCCCACCTGGAAAACACTTATCCCCAATGCTATGGCTTCCCCCACGTGGGAAACACAAATTACAAGTGATATGTGTTCCCCCAGTTGGAAACACATAACCCTAGTGATATGTGTTCAACCACCTGGGAAAGACATATCCCTAGTGATATGTGTTCCCCCACCTAGGAAACACATATCCCTAGTGATATGTGTTCCCCCACCCGGGAAACACATAAACCTAGTGATATGTGTTCCCCCACCTGGGAAACACATATCCCTAGTGATATGTGTTCCCCCACCTGGGAAACACATATCCCTAGTGATATGTGTTCCCCTACCTAGGAAACACATATCCTTAATGGTATGTGTTCCCCCACCTGGGAAACACATATCCCTAGCGATATGTGTTCCCCCACCCGGGAAACACTATACCTAGTGATAGGTGTTCCCCCACCTGGGAAACACATATCCCTAGTTATATGTGTTCCCCCACCTGGAAAACACATATCCTTAGTGGTATGTGTTGCCCTATCTGGTAAACACATATCTCTAGTGATATGTGTTCCCCCACCTGGGAAACACATATCTTTAGTCATATGTGTTCCCCTACCTGGGAAACACATATCCCTAGTGATATGGGTTCCCGCACCAGGGAAACACATATCCCTAGAGATATGTGTTCCCCCACCTGGGAAACACATATCCCTAGTGGTATGTGTTCCCCGACCTGGGATACACATATCCCTAGTGATATGTGTTCCCCCACATGGGAAACACATATCCCTAGTGATGCTATGGGTTCCCCCACGTGGGAAAAACAAATCACAAGTGATATGTGTTCCCCCACTTGGGAACACATAACCCTAGTGATATGTGTTCAACCACCTGGGAAAGACATATCCCTAGTGATATGTGTTCCCCCACCCGGGAAACACATATCCCTAGTGATATGTGTTCCCCCACCTGGGAAACACATATCCCTAGTGATATGTGTTCCCCCACCTGGGAAACAGATATCCCTAGTGGTATGTGTTCCCCCACCTGGGAAACACAAATCCCTAGTCATATGTGTTCCCCCACCTGGGAAACACATATCCCTAGTCATATGTGTTCACCCAGCTGGGAAACATATATCCTTAGTGATATGGGTTCCCCCACCTGGGAAACACTTATCCCTAATGGTATGGGTTCCCCCACCTGGGAAACACATATCCCTAGTGACATGTGTTCCCCCACCTGGGAAACACATATCCCTAGTGATATGTGTTCCCCCACCTGGGAAACAGATATCCCTTGTGATATTTGTTCCCCCACCTGGGTAACACATATCCCTAGTGGTATGTGTTCCCCCACCTGGGAAACACATATCCCTAGTGATATGTGTTCCCCCACCTGGGAAACACATATCCCTAGTGGTATGTGTTCCCCCACCTGGGAAACACATATCCCTAGTGATATGTGTTCCTCCACCTGGGAAACACATATCCTTAGTGGTATGTGTTGCCCCATCTGGGAAACACATATCCCTAGTGATATGTGTTCCCCCACCTTGGAAACACATATCCCTAGTGATATGTGTTCCCCCACCTGGGAAACACATATCTCTAGTGGTATGTGTTCCCCCACCCGGGAAACACATATCCCTAGTGGTATGTGTTCCCCCACCTGGGAAACACATATCCCTAGTGATATGTGTTCCCCACCTGGGAAACACATATCCCTAGTGATATGTGTTCCCCACCTGGGAAACACATATCCCTAGTTATATGTGTTCCCCCACCTGGGAAACACATATTCCTAGTCATATGTGTTCACCCAGCTGGGAAACACATATCCCTAGTGATATGTGTTCCCCCACCTGGGAAACACATATCCCTAGTGGTATGTGTTCCCGCACCTGGGAAACACATATGCCTAGTGATATGTGTTCCCCCACCTGGGAAACACATATCCCTAGTCATATGTGTTCCCCCACCTGGGATCACATATTCCTAGTCATATGTGTTCACCCAGCTGGGAAACACATATCCCTAGTGATATGTGTTCCCCCGCCTGGGAAACACATATCCCTAGTCGTATGTGTTCCCCCACCCGGGAAACACATATCCCAAGTGCTATGTGTTCCTCCACCTGGGAAACACATATCCCTAGTCATATGTGTTCCCCCACCTGGGAAACACATATCCCTGGTCATATGTGTTCCCCCACCTGGGAAACACATATCCCTAGTGATATGTGTTTCCTCACCTGGGAAACACATATCCCTAGCGATATGTGTTCCCCCACCTGGGAAACACATATGCCTAGTGATATGTGTTCCCCCACCTGGGAACTGATCCATTTGCATTCTAAAAGCATTCACCAGGTTTTCCACACAAATTGTAAGCGCTCTAGGTCAACACAAGGTGCGGTTATGAAAAATCATTTGTGAGATTAGAGCCAATCAAAAAGAGAAGGGTAAGAGAAATATTTACAATGTATATGATGAGTTATAACGCTCATTGTTTTATTTTCTTACCAAATAGGATGAGGCATCCTGTACACCTCATTACCCAGTGTGCGATCATCATCTCCTTCGGCTTCTTTAATCTGTTCCCTCTCTTTAAAATGTGGTAGCTGCTTCTCAGTGTGCACAGCACTCGTGGACAACAGACAAACCTGATAGATACAACTATGTCAACACAGATGTTCAGAAATTATGTACCCCACAAGAGAGCTTGCTGCCAGGTCGGGAACTCCCCCAGTGTAGTTTTATACGGACAGGCTCTGGCCCCCAAGGCCAACCCCTTACCTAGCTGGCTTTATACAGGGTTCATACAAAAAATTGCAACCATTTTTTAAGGACTTTTCAATTACTTTTCAAGGACCACCTACTAGGAATTTAATTTCACAGACTGTACAAAAATGCACATTCCCAGTCCTTTCTAATAAGACTTTAAGGCTTGACCTGTTTGCTTCACCAACTTCTCTACATTTGTTCACTTGTCTTAAATTGATTGTTTCATTATCGCATAAAACATAGAGCACTTTATGTAAAAAACCATTAAATTCTCTGAGTTGTGATTTACATTCTGCCTTGGACAATGAAAAAGCATCAAAAAACTCTGTCCAGGCTACTACATTCAAAGTTGAAGAAGATTCAAGAACTTTTCAAGGACTTGCACAGATATTTAGGGACTTTTCAAGGAAAAACGGATTTCAAGGACTTTTCAAGGACTTCCCCTAAAATTCAAGGACTTTTCAAGACTGTGTGAACCCTGTTTTATACCATTTTTGACACAAAAGGTAACCTGCCATTTCTCGTCGCTCCTAGCCGCTGGGGACGTTTCGTGAGGAGGAACATCTGCGTCTCAGCGACAGAAATTACATACTGATGACGTAAAATCGGTCTGGAATCCGATCATAAGTGCTGATTGTACGACAGAGTAGTTACATTGTCTTAGCTATTGTTTATGAATGACAGACAAAAGACAAAAAGCTAAAAAGGTCAAATGTAAATACGATGAATCTATAACGAAACAGTCAGTATTTGTGGAATATTTTCTTCTCTAGAAGAAGCATTTGAGTTTTGCTGGAGCTCACTCACAGGTTAACATAACACTTTAGAAAAACGACCAGGAGAAACATAAAATTGAACAAATTTGCATTTGGAACCCCATGACTACTAGATTTATTATGTAAACATTGTTATACGTTGTCAGTATTGAATTTCTGTCGCTGAGTCACAGACGTTCCTTCTCGCAAAACATCCCAGTGGCGAAGAGCGAGGAGAAACGGCTGTTTTCACAGGCTACAGAAAAGGTAACTCTTTCATATACCTTCTATTAGCAAACGGTACACCTTTCATATTCCTAGTTTAGAACTTTGCATCCCTTTCAACTGATGTACAATGTAAATGCACTGTGTTCAAAATAAGAATAAATCAAAACCAGAAAGTTTTCTCAACTTTTTCACAGGCATAAAATGCATCTGTTAGTCTTTAGGGGTCCTTTTACTGACCGAAAAGACAGATTTCCCTACCCCTTCATTTACTTCAAGTGAAATCCGTACCCTTCTTATGTGGCTGAACCCTAAAAAAGGTACCTCCTTTGTGGCAGAGACTTCCCATATAGGCCATTATAGGAAGTAGCCCCCCGCCCCCTTCCTGGGAGAGCTCCTTTCAATATGGGGCAGGTGTATGTGTTCTGTGTGTGTTGGTAACTATGACGATTGTTAAACCCTGACAATTTTTAAGGGAAGGAAAGTAATACAATGATACCTTTTAAAGGCTCAAAAATGCAAGCCCTTCCTGATTATGCATCAGTCAATTCCAGCTGTGCCCAGTCCCCCCTCCCCCCCCTCCAGGCTGACCCCAGGGCATTACCATTTGTTTTGCCTTGGATGGCAAATTCCCGGGGGTGGGGACTCTTGAGCTGTCAAATCTCCCGAGCTGGGGATGAAAAAGAGGGCAAATGCCCCGTCCTCTGTCAGCTTGCACAATCGAATAGTGCCATTTAAGCATTTTAATGTGCGATTTTTTTGTTTCAATTAACGTCTTCCTTTGTAATAGCACTAGGATTCTTAAGACTGCACGCCACGACGACATTAACAGAGTGCTATAAAGTTATATGTTATGTCGAATAATTTTATAAATATGGAAGGATGATCTTCAAATAATGGCTATCAACAGAAATTTGATTCAATTTGATTCACGTCCTGTTAGCTCCCAATTTCGCCATGTGATTCTGGCTTGATACGCAATGAAAAAATGCATGCATAAAATTGAGAACATGTCTTTACAACCCTCTTCAATTTTTTCCTGTCCTTGATAATTACGCCAATATGCTTGTTTAAAATATTTCCATTAAAATCCTAAGTGTAGTTATATTCTGATAGGAAACTGCATGCGTATCATAGGCTTGGGAATGGCCCCGGGGTTGGCAAATGCCCGGTGCCCGGGCAGAGCAGAATTGGCAAATGCCCCGCAGTAGCCGGGGGCGGTGGGGGGTGGGGGCTGGTCGCAGCTGTAATTGACTGATGCATTATGAACAGGTGTTTTTTTTTTCTTCTTTGTCAAAACCTTGTCAAGTAGTTCAGATGTTTGGATTAAATCCTTGGTTTTATCTAAGAAAATGTAACTGTATCAAAGGATCAAATATTTATAACAAAAGCGGTAAATCCTATTTGAGCAGTAAGCACCTAATTCACGTCATACAGACCATATACTGACTTTCCAATGCTTCATCTTGGGTTTCCTCCCCAACCTGGCATGATCCTCTTACGTAAGCATTATAGAACACTAATTTTTACTGTAATTTCTAATAATCTATTACATTCTCAGCTAACTATCAACACTCAAAATCTAGCATGCGACGACAACTCTACGCTTACTGTGGATTTTCGAAGAGCTGCTACCAGTTGACCGCCATTTTCAGTTCGAATTCCAAACCGCTGCAATATGATGCACCGAGAACCTGACGATCTGAGCACCGTTCCCACGAGAGAAGATGCAAGTCTTGTAGACTTCGTTGAAAACATTTTTCACTTTTTACACATCTAGAGGAGATTTGAAAGCTAGCGACCGGAAATGAGCTTCCTTTCCAGAAGACGAACCCTTCGCGTTATATCGTTCATCCGAACTCAACCTCGTTCCCAGGGTCTTCTCGTTTTCCAATATGGCGGCGGTAGGAGAGAAGACCCTGGCACACAGCAGAAATCACGTGACTGATTTGTCCACGGAGAGTGGAAATTTATTCAAAATGGCGGCCAAGATAAAGACTGAGAGAATCTGGGTACGAGGTCTTGAGACTGAAGAAAAACAAACAAAATGGCGGCAAAGGCAGACGCAAGAGAAGCTAAAAATATGAAAGAATGCACTTAAAAGCCACAGGAATACGGTAGAATGATATAGCGATCTTATTTTCTGCTCAATGACCTTCATTTATTTTAAGCCTGAACGTTCTAGCGTACACGGCACTTAACAACTGTCTACAACTTTAATATTTTCTCGATAGCGGTCTTTTTTCACTGTTTTCTTTTTTTGCCTACCCTGAGTGCCAGAGGTTCAGTTTTCTTCTTTCGTGAAAGGGGGAGCTTTTTCTAACCGTGAGGGCAATTTATATCATCTTAGGAATTTCGAGAACACACCTCTGAAGCCAGGAAATTTTTTGTCATGACGCCCTAAAACTTCTTCCCCTCCGAAATTCAACAAGGCATTAAATTGAGTCGCAGACACTTTGCCGAATACTACGATAAGTTATGTCAGTTTTGTTACAGATCTTCGTGAGGTTTTTGACTATTGTTTTTCTATCTGTACACATTTTAACTGAACTCTGATATGCAAAAAACAATTTTTTTTTCTGAAAACAAGAACCAGAGAACACTATTTTGTTAATATAATTTGAGGAAACTTTGGTTGAAAATTAAACCGTTCCTTGTTCAGTTTGGATACTTTGTCACTTTATCTGGTACAGGTAATAAAATTATTGTCATCCTTCATCTACTTTACAGTTTCTAGACTTTCTTATTGGCTTTTGATATCTAACCCTGTTCACAATGCTTCCGGGCAATATTTATTTAATCTAGCAAAGACGCTGTCATTAGTTCCCCACAAAAAAAAAATGCCAAGTTAAAAAGCCCAAGTACAAGAAGGTTGGAG